GGAGGAACCGAGCCATAGCTCTACAAGGCGGAAGTCCAAGCCATAAGAGAGGCTATTCATACGAGGAGCACCTGGAGACAAACAAGCCTTAAAGTTGTGGTGAGAATAAAATTTGTGCGACAGATATGTGGTGACCAACTACTTCGAAAGCGACCAATATTGTAACACACCTCAGGACGCCAGTGAATAATCGCTTTTTAAATGACTATCTTTTCGATTCTTAGGCGGAAGATTGTTCATCAGAAACTCCAAAGATGAACTAGATCACATACCTCAGCAAAGCCATACCATAGCAGCGTACGTTAAATCGACCTTGTGGTACGCAGCTTCGCCTCCCTTCTACTTATACACGAAAATTAATCTTGAATTGGAGATAAAGGTCGCACATCCCAATACTGTGATATCGGAAGTTGGGCTTGTCACACCATTTGAACCTTTTCGTCTGGTCCGTTCTTACGGCGGTGTGAAATGAACAGCTAATTAAATAAGGTAAACACATAAGATGTGAATGGTATAAGTAAAAACTGAACACCGCTGATCACAAATGTTCCTTGAAAATTCAATTGCATGTGATTTCGCACTTTGGAGAATCATGCAAAATGGTTAGTATGAACATCCAGTTTTCACGCAGTCCTAGGTAACCAGTTTGACTGAAGAATTTGGTTTTATTGTAAGAAAACACGTTTACCCGTACCACGTTTTGCAACTCTATGTTTTGGTCAATCCACTAGACTGTTCTCTTTAATTGTCGCTTTGTAATTGAACTGGCACAGACGAGATTTGATTGAAACGTGACTGTTGTGTGTTTGTTACTTTCAATGCCACTCCAGATGAACTAATTTAAAGCAAAAGTCCGCCACTGATTCTGACGCATGCGTCTATTTGGGGATTTACTATATTAAATGCAAACAAAAGTGTCCGAATGACTCTCACAGGCTTTCAGATTGTCTGCATGTCACAGTTGCGTGCCTCACTTTTTAATTAGATTAAACTCTTTTAGGACACTGCATATTTTTCAGCCGCTTGCTTCTCATGACGCATTCCATCAGTACCATCTTCCGCTTGTCGTGTCATCAATACACGGCTCTGGTGGTAATTATAGAGTTTCTTCGCAATTCAACGCTCATATTGAACCCTTACTTTTCTTTTTAAACAATTTGTTATGCGAATAATTACCTAAGCTTCTCTGGCACGTAATTGTTCTACGAATCTCGTGTGTGCATCCACCGGAAGTGAAATTTAAGCGACCGTATGACTGATTCTGATTTGAGTGGCAATCATGCTCATCCAGAAGAAAGCAGTTTAGAGTAATTGGTTTCTTCTGATGGTACGGGCTAACGAAATAACGACTCGGACACATCACTTGGTAAACTGGTATCTATTTATTAGAACTGGTTCATAAAACCTTAAATACTGAATTGCTGACCTTAGTTCCTTTGGCTTATTTCATTGCTTTTAGGAGATCAAACTCAGCACATTCAGGAATACTTGGCTTTGAGAGTTTTACTTCCATCATACGTTTAGATTCCGTCACATTTTTTGTAGTGCACCACAGTGGCCTCCTACCGTAACTCGATTGAAAACACTCATTATATAGACCTTCATTAGAGGTTTCAGTTGGGTTCTGCCTGTTGTTCTTATGGTTGCTTGAAGCAATGACCCTGTGGTATTATGACAAGTGACCAGTAAACGAGTCCGACTAATGCTGTAGGAATGTGGTTACACTGCTTTTGTTCAAAGTTGCAGGGCTGTGTACAACTTTACATTTTTGACAAGCGCGACCGACGGCGTTCTGTACACAATCAGTAGCCCTCAGAGCAGATATCAAACTTTATCACACTTTGTTGCACAAATTATGACTATTGAAAGTAAAGGTTGTAGATTTTTTATCCTTATATTTGGAATCCGTACGTAAATATTCACAATAATGATTATTTTAGGACTTGTGTCATTTTGTGCTCGTTGAAAACATGTTCCAATTTGCGTAAATCACAAATTAAATAACGTATGTAGATTCTAATGATGGAAGTGTTTTGAACCATTACTGAGATAAGGAGTGGATCTGTGATTTGCAGTATTTAGCAACCTCGAAAATTCTGTGCAGTATGGGGTGGCTTACTTGTGCTTCTAACATGTAGAGAGCACTAGAAAGATAGTTATTGAAGGATAGCCAGCTGGTCGTTTATCTGGCTTTCAATAAGACCAACTCCCAAGTGTAAGTTGACCGGTAAATCGATCAATTAGGCGAATGTGTTCAGCTACGAAAAAGGACGCTTTACTATTTTTATTCTTCTCTGCGCCTATCATATTCATAGGGAAGTTTGACTATCTGTTCTTCGGAATAACGAGAAATCATCACTTCTTGAGTCGCTTTATGAGAGGGAGTTTCAAAAAAACTGGTGGTCTTTTGAATGCCTTAATGCTAAGGTGACTTAGACCGTTTCTTCATACTCATTCCAAAATCACTCATGGTGCGATACTATTAACGTACTTAACAATAACGACAAAATATAGTAATGAGAATGATGTCAATAATTTGAGAAATATACTGATTTTGCTTTATGCATTTCAGGTGTGGTCATTTCTGGAAAAGTTATTTCGGTTAACGAGCTATCCTGAGAGTCCATAAAAACGGATAAACCGAAAATTGCCCATTTCAAACAAATTGCGACTTTTATTACGCTGCTGAAATCAAAAAGGGGTATTTTATTTTTTTATTAACTAGGAGACTCTAATGGGGACGTTTTAGTGAAACCATGAGGAATTTACCTATCTAAATTAGTAACTGCACTGTCATTTTAGGATCCATAACAATACCATACCTGTGTCGTCAGACGACGAACAACGGGTGTGCTGAGAGGTCGGATTTTACAAACGATTTTACAAACTTTGATTTGAGCAGGATTATCATAAACCCCTAAAAGAACTTGCTTACTGTGACTTTATGTAATGAGATAGAAAATGTATCTAACTTGTCATTTAGTATGCGCAAATACATACACCTTTTCCATCTGCAAGACAGGTAGTATAAGACACCGCTCTTGTTTTTACGGCAGACCGTTTACCTACGAATAAGTGGTGCCTTTCAGAAACCCAGGAGCTTCACTTGCATACTTCAATGAAAAACTCAAAATCATAATTTGATACTGAGTGTCCAATACCCTAATTTACATATCCCCGCGATATTGTGGCTGGACGGTTAGACCTTAATGACCACCGATAAAATCAAATTGAAGCCAGTCAAAGATTTATGTTACTGAGCAAACAGCCACCATTGTATTCCGGGTCATCCAACGCAACTGTTGAAAAGTGGCGCAAAATCTTCATTCCCTTTACACAAATTTGTTAACATATCTTGGTGGCTATGCGCAGACGAGCTAATCATAACTTGCGACAGTTTTACTTCAAGCAAGCAGGCTAGTAGACTATAAGATTTGTGGTGTATCAAAAACTGAGAACCACTCACAAATGGTAAAATGAATGCTTCAATGTACGGCATTATTAGGATCAAGAAATGTAAACTGTAATATCCGAACACAATATACGAAGAAAAAGATACGAGGTTTAAAAAGCGCCTAGAAGTAATACTCAATGCTCTTTACGATACACTTCAAGGACCAAATCCAATGAGAGGCTCATAGTTTAGGGCTTATTGGGTCATGGTCCGCTTGGCTGCTAATCAGCAGCTCTTCACGTGATTTTCACCATGCTCGAAATGCGAACGTTTCAACCACGTTAGAGACTGTGTGGAATCTCTGACCACAGCTCTGCAAGTTTCTAAGGCATACACTGATGCCTAATTTTGTGAACTCCAGCATCTCACAGTTTAGTTTCCTTTTGTATATCTAAAGAAGGAGCTTATATCTGAATAATGTAAAATGAAGCCATCAGCTTTCAGGTATATCACATTAACAGCATGTAAAACAATTATCACTCGGCAACGATTACTAAAGTCGGGCCAGTAACAGAAAATCAGGCACATTCTCCTTTTTTAATAATGTAAAGCTAAAAGACTTTAGTACAGTTTATTACATCAACCGCCACCAAAGTGGATAGAAAGCATTTTAAACCTAAGCCTGTACTTGTGAGTTAACAACCCAAAAGTTAATTTTCTGGCAAAAAAATCATTTAATACCCGATACTTTCTAACATCTCATATAGATAATCTAATCCATATTCCTCCAATGCAAAACATCAATAAAAATACAGACTTCATGTTGTGCTATGTTATCCTATGTAATTTAGTTTACCATCTAGCAAACTTCAAATCTATTATTTATGAGCTGAGAACGAGGTCGTCTTTCATTACGCCTAGTCAATCAAGATGTTTCTCAAACTAGAAAGGTTCAACAAATGATCTACAATGTTTACATTCAGTTTTCGTTAGCATAGTCTGTGAAGTGATTGACTCTCAAAGCTTCACGAATCGTTAGGAGAAACTGTTAAGTTTGGCGCGCATGCGCTGTCTGTCCAAAGGGGTTATGCAGTCAATTTGTATAGTTCGTGATCAGATCACTCAAGACTAGACTATCTTTGTTCTCATGAACAATTAACGAAAGAGCTGAAGTATCCTTTTCGGTCTTAGGCAGCGTTTAGGAGAATAAAGCAATCGCTATACTATTTAAGCCAAAGTATTTCACAGTACATTTCCACAAATATGCTCCGTTAGTTTTTACTTTCAGAAGGTTTGCAATGCGCTAAATCAATTTTGCTAGGTCACAATAATATAAAACGCGTTTTACTCAAAAATGCATCATCGTGATTGTCAAACTTCAATGTTTCTTCGTCATCTTGACGGTGAAATATGCTGTTCAAATGGTAAACACTTACAACAATTAATTTGAATGGATGCGTGAATAAGCTCAATATGGTGCATTTTGACAGCCGTGGAAAATTTACCAATGACTTTCCGCATGTAAGACGGTTCAATGTTTACTTAATTAGGATATTTTATCTGGTAAACACACGAACAAGAAAGATAAATCAGTCAGTGTACCCACCTTGGTATAAAAATTCCAAACCGCTTGTTTGATAATGAATGTGTTGCACCGCCAGTTAAAATACGATCTCCCACAATTTCCCTACTAGTATCTGCGATTGCTTTGACCAATCCGCGGAAACCTCATCCAACCAATAGAGCGGAAGTTACCGCGAAAGCAAGCTGCAGTATTCAGAAGTACAATTAACTCGCAGAGCAATCGAGCAGAACTTCGAGGCGGATATTTTTCGAAAGTGAAATAATATGGTAGCGATTTCGTTAGTTTTCTTTAGGTGCAATGGAATGCTTTGATCAACACTCGCTGGTTGGAACCCCACAAATGTTATCCTTTTTATAACATTGGTGGTTTATAAGGGAGTTTTAAAACTTTGCTTATGAAAATCTAAGGAAGAAGAGCGCACAAACTGACGGGTTTTCCCCAATAGATATTGATGTGAATCCAGTCGCTTCGAGTTAGCGATCTTTTTAAATAAATGAATCAGGATACCACTGAGTAGGTTTTACCACATGGAGCAGCATGTCAGTCACTCAAATGCGTGCCATTCTGCTCGCCAGCCGCCCTTACCGGCAATCCTTTGATTTTGAGGCATCTAATTGCATACAAATTCCTAACTCGGTCTGTGTACTGTAGATTTTTATATTGATTACGTTAATTAAGTATCATTCACTGTCACAAGAAGCAACTTTTTGGTACTGAGATATTGGTTCTATTATTACTATGCACAATAAAGTGTAACTTCTGTTAGGGATGTTTTTTGTTGGTATGGCTCCTAGTTATTTCAGTTAACTCACGATAGTGGGAAGAATTAAGCAGCTTATAACCCCATGACATTCTTTCCATGAAATTAAGTGAATGATAGGGCAAAAACGGTAGGCTATAGCGCCTATCTAATGGTGCAACTTGTAAGCAATTGTGAAAAATGTGTCCACTCTTTATTGACTGTCAAGTATTTTGGGTGTAAACTGAAAGACTATTTTTCAATCAAGGTGTCCGTATAGGATTTGCGGTACCAATCATTTCAATACAAATGACCTGCATATTTGAAAGTTCGTTCTCAATTGCACAGTGGACTTGGGGTGGCAAAAGTAGGCTAAAAATTGGTAAAGTGAAATGTCATTCACTGAAAAAATTTATGATCGTAGTAATTCTTTTCCTTTTCTTCCCTTTCAAATGGGTACCTGCCATTGCTGCTTATATCAGCACAATTTCCTTCATCTGCTGGGACATCGCTGCAGTTGGTCCGTGCTCACCTGTCATTTTGTTTGAAATACATCTCTTGAAACATATTTTCACGTGGTCAAACGTATTTCAAGTCCTAGATCATGTTTCATCTTGATCGAAGTGCCTGTTGGATTTACTCTACGACAGCCGTAAATAGCTCTTTGACCGGAGACATCCGAGTTACCCCCACTTTTTGTCCATGATCATAACTTTTGTATTCATTCTCATTTCACTCCGGCTTTAGCTCGGTCAGGGAGTGATGGAACCTCGGTGATGCCGTTTTACCAGATGATTTTTATTCTTGATTTTTCTATTACATGACCACGCAGACAGCTTCGGATGATCGAAACATATATGTCCACTTCCGTGGCCGCACTTGAAACACGTAAATCTAAGGCGTGATACTATTCTGATTGCACTCATGCCGGCTGTCCTCGCATTGCTCATTACCTGAAGACTCCTTTTTATGTCCTCGCTGAACCACTATGGGACATCCTCTGCTTCCTACGTAAAATTATTTAGATAGGGTTCACATTATGGTTCTTGTCTAGTGAAAATAACAGCTTGGCAGGTCCTTCGTTGTTTTTAATGACCTCTCGACTTCAACCTCGGAACTTTTTTCATTTATGCTTGTCTTATCGGAATTGAACTCACCATCAGTTAATGCTCGTTAGGGGTTATCCGGCTCCCGAGCAGCACGAAAAGGTTACTCTCTGACAGATAGCGCCTGAGCGTCTGAGCGATTCTATGTCCCAAATTTAATGAACGGATTGCGTTTCGTTCCCAAAATTCCTTCTGTGCAGCAAAGAGCTCGCTTTGAATGCAGGATATTTCTGCGACTAAATTTCTTGACGTCACTTGGCTTGTCACTGGGAAAAACAGCTCAGGGAATCTTTTCATTAGATCATGTGTTAGTATTTCGGCCTAGTCTCTAACAAGGATATTTCCAGAAAATGTTAGTGTCATGAATGTAGTACTATGGATGCGCTTATTGTTCGCGGATTCCCGTGGGTTTACTGTTATTCTGTCTGGTCGAAACTTCCAAAGATTTCGTCACTTCTCTTATATTTGCCGAAGGCAACTTCACAGCTTTATGCCATCCCCCAAAACGTTCTGCAAGGATCTTGTAATAACTGGTTTAAATTTATTATTACATATCAGTCTGATCTAAGTAAACATTTTAGATACCCCGTCAGTAAACCGATTTTCCACTTCAATGATGAATAAATGAAAAATTAAAATCCTCCCCTCCGGGTAATACTGTTCACTACAGTGCTTCAGCAGGGTAACAGATATCAGCAAATTATTTAGTGGAATGAATCCTAAAGCATTCGAGTTCGCACATCAGGATTGATCCTAACATTGGGACCCTCATTTGAACTCACGATCACTGAACTCTGTTACGTAACTGATGGCCGTTCAATGTGGTTGTTTTCTATAAAAGACCAAGTGTTCCTGGATGTAAGCATGTCTATGGACTGCGCAAAGCGCCTTGCGAGCAAATCTACTCTGCTCTTGATTGATGATCTGTCTTACACAAACTCTGTCTAATAGAAGTTTCAATAACTTCCAGATATTGATTTTAGATTCTCAGCATAATAATCAAGGCTATATTTATAAGTTCACTAGTAACGTGGATTTTCAATGGGTACAAATTCTGATGGCTGGATGTGAACCGTATTGAAACTTTGATTGCAATCAAACCGTAATTCTATTTCCACAGGGAATACTTCTGTTTTGTGGCGCCGGAATTTATGGTTAGATTAAAACGCCTGAAAAAGACGGATACAATTTTAAATAAATACTTGATATGCTGAATCATTATCTCGACCAACAACGCTCGGGTAATCAGTCCGGCTTAGGCATTTGCAGGCATCACATAAGCCTTACTTTGGTGAATTTGTTATGATTCACTCAAAGCTTCCGTCGAAACCATCCGGGATCATATCTTGGCCATTGGGGTGCTTGGCACGGGATGGCGCGAATAAGATCTTTTCTTCATTTCAATTCCGAGTTAATCAGCTTCTGACAGAATTTCCAATTAAACCTACTGTTTCGCATAGTTACACTTTATCAACTGCAATAATTTGAGTATCTCCCTTCATTTGACTCGATCACCGAAGTGATTGGTATTCGATCCCGAAACCCACCATCCTGGATTTACAAAGCATAATTTGCTAACCGGAAAACCTTTCACTATGCGAGGCCAAGTTCACTGATTCTGCTGTGCGTATGTTGTTTGTACTTTCTTATTTGTTCAGATGTTTTCAATCGAAAATTCAACGTCTCAACTCCTCGAGCGATTTATCATCCATTTTGCCTCGCATATTCCGAATAATCTATTCAGAACAATTTCCCGAGTATTGAGCAAATCAAAACGAATTTCGCAACTCTTATGTTGCAAAGAGGATGTATCGCGTTAATCGCATATATATATATATGTATAGTACAACTTTGATAAGCCCCATTTGAAGAAAATCCAGAACGCAAGCAGGACTACCTCACATTTGTAGACTGGAAATCGCATATTATATATGTATAGTACAACTTTGATAAGCCCCATTTGAAGAAAATCCAGAACGCAAGCAGGACTACCTCACATTTGTAGACTGGACCCTCATGTGTCATAAAGACTCAATTGATCCCACACAATGGATTTCATCTACATGATATACAAGCACCAAATTTTCCCTTTTGTGGACAACTCTTCAGGTGGAACCACTTGTGCTTGGCTTTTTGAAAAATTTTTATTGTCTAACTAAGAAATGCTCCAAATTGTTACAGTTGAACTACTTTTTTTCAAGATTCGGCTTTCTCATGGAAAATGTTTGTCATCAAAAACCTCTTGGGCTCCTAACAGAACGTTGTCTTTTAGGGACATATTATTTACTGACGGTTGTTTCCCAGAAAATGAATGTTGTATATTAAAATGAGCAAATAAAACAGCTGGTCTGTCGTGTTATAGGAACCCACCATGTTAGTAAACATCAAAATAAATATGTCAAAATAAGTGTGCATGGTATGTCGAAATAGGTTTCTCTAAGTTTCCATCACATGCCCTCGTTACCCTCTCATCAGGGTAAATCAACAGATCGAATAAACCTTGTCCCTCCGGAGGACTTTCGGTACTGAATTACCCTTCGTGAGCCAACAACAACGCTGTGCTATTCCCGCGAGATAGTCCTCCGGCTCTTGAAATTTTGAAGTTACGGGACAGAAACCACTAATTCTGATTTTCTAAATAATTACAACAATTAATTGTGCCGCACTTTGCCGACAGACGCACCTAACGACAATTCGACTGATTTGAGCTGACAGCCATCATGTAAGATATCTTCCCGTGATTACAGTGCATCTGGTGCACTAATTTTCAGAAGAGTTAATTTTCGCTTGGTTTCATTTGTAATGCAGCACTGGAAAAGCGTCGCCATCCACGAGAGATATGTTCTAGTCTTTACAGAGGGGAAAAGTATCTAAAACACATCAGTTTGTGTCTTAGGAAGTTGGTATTGCTCATGTCAACCAAAGGTGCGCGCGTATTTACGGTAAAAGTCTATAAACGGAGGCTTTCTAATGTAGTTTTCCTGTTTGTAGCACACGGAGTTTGCCCAAAACTTATCCACTTGAACATTATCCGTTGACCTAACACTACGTTTAGCTGGGCGTCCGTCGTGGCTTGTCTATGTTCACGAGCAGGAGACTTCATATATATATATATATATATATATATATATATATCCTTTTCAGCGCAGTACAAAATTTGTGGGCTTTGATATACTGAGAAAGTGGAATAAAGCATAAGAGAATGGAAT